AACTGGAGAAATTATATGAAGGAATATGAAGATGCATAAAAATAATAAAACAGAAAACATAAGACAGTATCAGGAGGGTATTTCAGGAATCACTCAGACCCTGAAATCACCCACGTTTATTTTTCTGCAGCTTTTATACCCAATGTAAACTGGGGGAGAAGGTAACAAAAGGCTTCATTAGCATGATACACAAGATTAACTCACAGGGCCAATTCTGAGACCTCCCATCATCAGCATTCTGTTGCCAAGGTAGCGAGATGCCCAAATTACATACACTGAGTCACATACCTGAAAGACAGCCCTTCCCCAGGTGACCTCATAGTTACAAAAAAAAAAAAAAGAGCAGAAGTACATTTGCACATTTTGACCACCTGTCAGGATGGCACCAAACTATCTTAACTTCAAAAGGGGCCAGGCAGCCACCTCCTGAGTTAGAAGGTACAATTATGCCCATTAGTCTCTCAAACTCTCTGACAGTGGTGAATGTACCTGCATTTCTTAGCCTCCACAAGTTATTACACATCTTTCTGAGAGAGTTTCCCTGGTAACCATCACTAGCCTTATATCATGGTCCTTCAGTTTCAGTCTCCCTGGTTCTGGATTACAGGTCACCATGCCCAGTTGTTCCAATATCTTATACCTATTTCCTGACTGAGTCTTTTTATTTGGGGAAACACTGTCATCATGCTTTCTTATTTCTTTCAACATGCCTTCTTTTCACATTTTTTTTTTGGTTTTTTTTTTTTTTTTTTTTTTTTGGTTTTTCGAGACAGGGTTTCTCTGTGGCTTTGGAGCCTGTCCTGGAACTAGCTCTGTAGACCAGGCTGGTCTCGAACTCACAGAGATCCGCCTGCCTCTGCCTCCCGAGTGCTGGGATTAAAAACGTGCGCCACCATCGCCCGGCTTTTCTTTTAACATTTTGAACACAGTTGTGATATGTATATTTTTATGGCGACATTTGCTTTTGCTTTCTGACTTTGTTTTGTTTGGGGGGATTGGTTCTAAATAACTGTCTGAAATCACTTGCTTTTCCCCCAAAGAGCTTTATTTTTTCTTCTAAGATGCATTGACATCTTTGCTAAGTCTAACATCTGGGTCATCCCCATGGACAGTTTCTCTTGCCAGGTCTTCCTTACTTACTCTTTGTATAGGTTATGTTTTCCTATTTCTTTACTGAGCTCACAGGTTTTTTTTTTTTACTAAATGAACTTTAAAATAATATATTCTCATACTTCTGCATAAAAATCATCCCCTCACCCAGAGTTTTTGTGTACGTGGTATCTTTGTGTGTGTGTTTGTATGCGTGTGTTTGTGTGTCTGTGTGTGTGTGTGTGTGTGTATGCCTTGTGCATCTTTGTGTTTGCTTGCTTTATTAGCTTCATGAAGCTACTTCCGTAATACCGCTCATCTCAGAACATGAAGCTCTACCGCTGCCCATATCTTCCTTCTCATCTGCATTGGAAGGACAGAAGTTAAAACAGGCTTCTCCTAGCGTTGTCTTTACTAAATCACTCTGGTGAGCTACAACTCTCAATGGGCATCAATATCAGCTGCTAGTCTCCATACTTCCAGGGAAATTATTTTATTGACTAATATCCCCACAAGGCATAAGCTGCCCTATCACCTGACTCGATCAAAACCACAACTTTCTCAAGGGTATGTTTTTGAAGTCAACCTTTCAGGTTTGGTCTGATCCTGAAAGGGCCTGTTTTAGCTGTTCACTTGCCTGGTTCTCTCAGGAAGATCGACTCATGCCGGCAGTTCAACTTGTAATTTTTGGAGTCACGGGTCTCTTGTACACTGTTTACTACTGAAGCTTCATTTTTTTTTTCAGGAGTATATCATCACCCCGAATTCTCCTATTCTCCATTCCCAATAAATTCAAGTATTTAAAGTATGAAAATTTTATGTTTTTATGGTCAAACTCTCCTCCTCAGTAAAGTTAACAAGTCATTGTTTCAGAACCAGCTGTGGAACAGTTCCTGTGTCTCTAGCTTTAGGGACAGGGCTCTCTGGGTGGCACAGTAAAGACAACTTCTTATCTCTTAGGCACATTGCATGGAATTTGGCCTTTGTACAGCAGCACCGGAGCAAGATAAGTATGTTGACAGATAGTCATCTCATCCCTGCTCAGAACTGGAGTAGGGAAAGGGAAACTCAGTCTTTATAGCCACACCTGCTCAGAGGGAAACTTTCTCATGTTGAGTGGTAGAGTGAAGAAGATAAGAAGGGAGTAGGCTATGGTTTATTATTAGAGATTTTCGTTGGTCTTTGAAGCTATTCCATAGATTATCTTGAATAAATATTAGATCTTTTCAATGTCCTTTCAATTTCCAAAGACTTTGTAAATTCAAATTTTAATATTTATTTTTACCAATTATACTATTTTAATTGTTCAAGGAATCTATAGCATTCCAATAATACTATTATGAAAATGGATACACACATACACACACACACAAACAAATACACACACACACACACACAAAACTAGCTTCTATATTGAAAGCAGAAAATATTTTGACAAAGTTTTGTATTCCATGTCATTCACAGTGGTTCATTTTTCTTCTCAGAACTCACTCAGATGCTATAATATAAACAGATGACTCCTGTGTTCTCTCTAAAGAAAAGCTTCAGTGACAACATTCTGTCACAGTGTGCAAAGCTGCATGCATACCACTGTAAGGAGAACAGTGAGCTTCCCCTTGTCTCTAGCCCTCTGGGATTTCATTGGCATTTTACCACGCCAAAGGGGATCTCCTGGCTAGACTTCCTGCCCTGGTAGAGTAAATATGGTCTGAAACTTTCCCTTGTTCCTCATTGTCAAATCCATTCTCCTTCTTAAGGCCTGATAGAGGAGCAAAATGAACTGTGTGTGTTCTAAGGGTTGCCTCATCTTGAATGTAACTTTTCTTGCACATGGTGGGAGAGTCTACAGAATTCACTTGATTTTAGATCGTGTGTGTGTGTGTGTGTGTGTGTGTGTGTGTGTGTGTGTGTGTCTGCAGAGCACTGAAGAGCAATCACAGGGCCTTGTGCATGCTAAGCATAGATATCAGCCAAGGCAAATTTTGTTTTTTCATCGTCCCCAAATATTTCTCTCAGCATCTCCTATTCTTACACTCTTATCTATCATCTCTCTCCAGGAGATAACATGAGAGCTATTGTGACATCTAATGGGTGATTGTGCTATGACAGGTCCTTTGCAGATATTATTTAAGTTCCAAAACAAACATTATTTGCCTCATTTTTTTTCATAAGAGACACTTGAAAACCAGAGAAATCAAAAGATTTATACAAGGGCACACAATTAGTAAATAAAAGGACTCAGATTTGAAGCCAGGCAATCTGACTTATATTGCTGCCTTCTCTACCATTCTTTTCCACTACCGATCAGTGTTGGACTGTAGTTCAGCTTTCTTCAGGAAGCCACTTCTGATCATTCAGTAAAGTATGATCCCCTTGGAGCCATCCTTGTGACATTTACATGTTTCATTATATTATAATTTGTACCTTTCACACCCATACACTGCTGTGTTATTGCACTGTAAAAGAAATGCTGTGTTTACTGATTTCATATCTCCTTTTGTGTTGTCCTAGTACATGCAAAATTGCTATCAACAGTGTTGCCAACATCAATGGAAAAGAAATCATCTGTAGAGGTGGATCCTCCTATGATATTGCAACATCCTGTATATTCCAAATTTGATCAAAGTTCAGATAGAAAACAACCCCTGGAACATCACCATATATGAAGAGTCATTCTGAGGAACATGGCTCAGAATATAACAATAGTATATTCAGAAAAAAAAACTCATTAAGAAAGACATTGTTGCTAGTCTATTTGAATACAGTAAAGATCTCATATTTGCAAACATTATTCAATTGTAGATTTGAAAATGTTTCCTGAGCTAGACAGACAGCTCAACAATAAGAGCATTTGATGTTCTTGCAGAAGACCTGGTCTCGGTTCCTAGAAACCACATGACAGCTCCCAAGCATCTGCTACTCCAGCTTCAGAAGGGCCAATGACCTCTTCTGGCTTCTAGTATCATGAGACATACATGGCAGTGTGCATACATTCATGCAAGCAAAACACTCATACACATAAAATAACTGAACAAATTTTTAAAAATAGAGCCATCTTGAAAGAAAAAAGAAAACCACTTTCTAAGAGGTTTGACTGACTTTAGTTTCATTTGTTAAGAAAGTATTTGTGTATTTCCAGTGGAATGATATAATAATGAAACTATTGGTATCTAAACTATTTATCCATTATTTCATTGAGCAAATATCAAATAAAGCTAGTGTGAACAAGTCATTACAAGAATTGAAATAGTTTGATGTCAAGTCTCTCCACTGTGACATTAAGTCCTAAAATATGTTTGTTTGCCTCACAAACACATTTAAACTCAGTTTTATCAATAAACCATATAAGTACAAAGATGAAATGGTATTTCCAGCTGAAATAGTATAATATGATTTACCTAGAAAGATTCTGTTAACTCTTTTTTGATTTTGATTTTTGTTTGTTTTTTTTACTTTTAATAGAAACATACAAATGATTGGCAGTCTTCAGGGTTAGTGTTTCACAGGAAATACTAAACATGAATTGCTACCTCACAAGAGCACAAAGGGCTGGTTATTCTTAGATGTACTTAGAAGACTTGAGTAAGGCAATGAGTCTAAATTCATGATTAAGAAGTAATTAATGGAGCTGCATTTTGGAATCTTAAAATCATCCCATTCATTACTCATAACTTTTCACCAAATAATTTGTTGAGAATGTTTTCTTATATCAACTATATTGTTATGGATTGTAAATCAAATTTATGCTTCTCTTTATTCTTATCAATGATCAAATTCCAAAATTTTTAAAGTAATTTGTTACTTTTAAATGTGTTCTTTAAATTTTAAAGATCAAAAGTTGACAAATAAAGCTATCATAATATGGTTTTAATGAAAAATTGTTAACCTTGGATTTTCTTTGGTATTTTCAGCAAAATAGGAAGCCACGTTTTTCTGATAAGCCCATCTTTGAGTCCTATCCGGAACCACCACTTTATGTCTTGGTTTTGACTTACATGGGATATGGAATTGGAACCTTATTTGGCTATCTCAGAGACTTTATGAGAAGCTGGGGAATAGAAAAATGCAACGCAGCTGTAGAGCGAGAAGAACAAAAAGTACGTACGTTTGCCCCCCTGGATCTGCGTCATTGTCTACCTTTCCCCAAAACAGTGACTCGGGTACAGAACCCAGAAAGGATGACATGTCCAAGAACCATTCAGCAGAAATTTCATTCATATCCAGTTACTAATCTCTGTCTCCCTGTGTATTTGTGGCCTTGTTTTTTCACATTCACTAGAATACTATTAACTGCCAGAAACAGAATTTAAGTTTTCTTGCTCAACATAATACTTAACTTATATGATAATTCCATAGCATATTTGATGAAAGATCTTTTTAATGATGAGCGAATCAATGTGAAAGACAACAAGGAAAGTAAGTGCACATAGGAGGTAGTCTTCTGGTCTTCCAGATTCAGCATCATTTGTGCCCTACTCCAAAATAAGAACATGTATCTGAGTGAAATGTTACATTTCTTATAGACAGAAATTTCTGTTACACGAAATCCTACAGCTGCTCAGTCCCAAAGAAATACACAGAGGCTTATATTAATTATAAACTACTTGGCAAATTAGCTCAGCTCAGGTTTATAATTAACTAGCTCTTACAACTTAAATTAACCCATAATTCTTGCCTATGTTTAGCCACATGGCTTGGTTCCTTTTCTCAGTGAGGCATTCTCATCTTACTTCCTCTTTATCTGGCTGGTGACTGACTCTCTGTCTTTCCTCTTTTCAGAATTCTCCTAGTCTGCTTACCCCAGCTTTACTTCCTACCTAGCTACTGGCCGATCAGCATTTTATTAAACCAATACAAGTGACAAATCTTTACAGTGTACAGTAAGAGCATTATCCCACAGCATTTTCCCTTTGTTCCTTTTCAAAACAAGAAACCTGAATCCAATTTCCTTTGTTTAGCTTTTTCTTGATCATTATCCAAAAAAAATTACAACCAACATGATAAACAAATACAAACATCCATAATCCATTTTGGGGGAATGTGGACATAGTTTTCTAGACTGCCCCCTGCTGATTGAGGGTGCTGGTAAACTTGTGGGGACTCAAAGAAAATTTAGGATTATGGTCAAGTCCTGCCTGGAGTATTCTGTGAAGCTGGATCACCTCAGCCAGCAGCCTTAAAGCTGTTCTGGATGCAGAGCTCAGAAGAAACTGCAACAGAAGTGCTCTGAAGTGTTGGACCTCTGGGCAATCTGTTCCCATTGGAGATTCTTTGGGGGGGGGGCTTCCTCAATGAAACCTTATTTTTCCTATCCCAGAATAAATCCAGTCTCACATTTTCTGTAGAAATAAAAACAAACCCTCTTCTCTAAAGTAACATATCTTTTGACATAAATTTCAAATTCAAGGTATTTTCCAAATATATAGATTGGCTTAATCAACAGCATTTATACTCAAATGTCTCTTAGCAACTGTTGCTCCCTTTTCAGCAGTCAAACAATGTCAACACAATAATATATAGTATCCAGATTCTCTGTGTATTTTTTCATCTTTATTTGGATTTTTTTTTCTTTGTCTTTTTTATTTTTTTTAAATGTTTAGTTTTTTGAGACAAGATTTCTCTGTGTACTTTTGGCTGTCCTGGAACTCATTCTATAGACCAGGTTGGCCGCAAACTAACAGAGATCTGCCTGCTTCTACCTCCCAAGTGCCGGTATTAAAGGCATGTGCCACCACAACCAACTACACTTTTTCTTTTTTTTAAAAAAAAAAAAAGAATTTCTCTATCCTTTTTCTTTTCTCTTCCAACCTTATGTATATATGTAAACACACTGTAAACTATTTAGAGGTCTCTTTTGTCTGAATCTATCTTTACTGTATATTTCTATTTTTTTCTGACCATGTGAGTCTTTAATCTGCTAAGAGATATGGCTAGGATTAAAGCCGTGGCTTTGGTGGCTGGCTCTGCCCCATTACTTAACTTTCTCAAAGTCTAGCTTCATGGCAGAGGTACTGGCAGAAGCCATGCTTATTGTCACAACTCTATGGAGTTTCAAGATGCATGCCAACACCAAGAAGCCTGATGTCATCTGCTCATAAAAACTATTTAAGTGTTTTGTGTCAGAGCCCTTAAAAGACCTCTGAGATTTTTGCCACTACCACTGAGTCAGGAAGACTCTCTTAAAGGAGCTGTACCTCTGCTTGCCACCAGAAAACGGAGCCTACTTGAGAAAAGAGGATTACCAAAAACTGTGCTGGACTCTGTTCTTGTCTGCCTAGCATTTTAAAAAACCTTTCTCAGGTTTCATGTGGAAATTCTTGCCAAATGTTTGGGTGCCATTTGTTGACAGAGTTTTTATCCCACCTGGTCCTGCAGTCATTCAGTCCCAAAGAAACACACAGAAGTTCATATTAATTATAAACTGTTTAACCTATTAGCTCAAGCTTATTATTAACTAGCTCTTACAACTTAAGTTAACCCATAATTCATATCTATATTGAGCCATGTGACTTGATACGTCTTCTCAGTAAGGCATTCTCATCTTGCTTCCTTTGCTTCTGGATGGTGACTGCATCTCAGCCTTTATTCTTCCCAAAATTCTCCTAGTCTTGTCACTCTGTCTATACTTCCTACCTGGCTACTGGCCAATCAGAGTTTAATTAAACTAATATGAGTGACAAGTCTTTACAGTGTACAAGAATTTTATCCCACAGTATTTCTATTTCATCTAGGTCAGATTTTCTCAAAATCTGCATTGATATATCTAACTCACTAGGTGATTCATCTGTTTGGAAAGCAGCCTTGTACATTGGAGGAATTTAAAGAACATTCCTGGCCTCCACACACTAGATTTGACGCTTCCACTGACTGACACACATGGCAATGATCAAGTCACTCCGTTTAGAGCCATTATCCTAGATAAACACCTATATTGCCTTGTTTCTGTACTGAGTTAGAGAATAAACTGAAAGATAATCAGAGGTCTGCCATGTATATAAATAATCAGTTCTTTGAGAAGTTCATACACATTTTGATCATATGTGCTTCTGTCACTAACTCCTTCGATTTTCACCCATTCCCTGCACACCAAACTTTGTGCCTTTTTTTCTTTAACCCATCAAGTACAAATTGTTTTGTTTAATTTATTTATTTATTAAAGATTTCTGCCTCCTCTCTGCCACCGCCTCCCATTTCCCTCCCCCTCCCCCGATCAAGTCCCCCTCCCTCATCAGCTCAAAGAGCAATCAGGGTTCCCTGACCTGTGGGAAGTCCAAGGACCGCCCACCTCCATCCAGGTCTAGTAAGGTGAGCATCAAACTGCCTAGGGCTCCCCCAAAGCCAGTACGTGCAGTAGGATCAAAAACCCATTGCCATTGTTCTTGAGTTCTCAGTAGTCCTCATTGTCCACTATGTTCAGCAAGTCCGGTTTTATCCCATGCATTTTCAGACCCAGGCCAGCTGGCCTTGGTGAGTTCCCGATAGAACATCCCCATTGTCTCAGTGTGTGGGTTCACCCCTCGCGGTCCTGAGTTCCTTGCTCGTGCTCCCTCTCCTTCTGCTCCTGATTTGGACCATGAGATTTCTGCCTTGTGCTCCAATGTGGGTCTCTGTCTCTGTCTCCTTTCATCACCTGATGAAGGTTAATATTCAGGAGGATGCCTATATGTTTTTCTTTGGGTTCTCCTTATTTAGCTTCTCTAGGATCACTAATTATAGGCTCAATGTCCTTTATTTATGGCTAGAAACCAAATATGAGTGAGTACATTCCATGTTCCTCTTTTTGGGTCTGGCTTGCCTCACTCAGGATAGTGTTTTCTATTTCCATCTATTTGCATGCAAAATTCAAGAAGTCCTTGTTTTTTTACTGCTGAGTAGTACTCTAATATGTATATATTCCATACTTTCTTCATCCATTCTTCCATTGAAGGACATCTAGGTTGTTTCCAGGTTCTGGCTATTACAAACAATGCTGCTATGAACATAGTTGAGCATATACTTTTGTTGTATGATAGGGCCTCTTTTGGGTATATTCCCAAGAGTGGTATTGCTGGGTCCAGGGGTAGGTTGATCCCGAATTTCCTAAGAAACAGCCACACTGCTTTCCAAAGTGGTTGCACAAGTTTGCATTCCCACCAGCAATGGATGAGTGTACCCCTTTCTCCACAACCTCTCTAGCAAAGGCTATCCTTGGTGTTTTTGATTTTAGCCATTCTGGTAGGTGTAGGATGGTATCTTAAAGTTGTCTTGATTTGCATTTCCCTGATCGCTAAGGAAGTTGAGCATGACCTTAAGTGTCTTTTGGCCATTTGAAATTCTTCTGTTGAGAATTCTCTGTTCAGATCAGTGCCCCATTTTATAATTGGGTTGATTAGCATTTTACGGTCTAGTATCTTGAGTTCTTTATATATTTTGGAGATCAGACCTTTGTCAGTTGCGGGGTTGGTGAAGATCTTCTCCCAGTCAGTGGGTTGCCTTTCTGTCTTAGTGACAGTGTCCTTTGCTTTACAGAAGCTTCTCAGTCTCAGGAGGTCCCATTTATTCAATGAGGCCCTTAATGTCTGTGCTGCTGGGGTTATATGTAGGAAGTGGTCTCCGGTGCCCATGTGTTGTAGAGTACTTCCCACTTTCTCTTCTATCAGGTTCAGTGTGTTCAGACTGATATTGAGCTCTTTAATCCATTTGGACTTGAGTTTTGTGCATGGTGATAGATATGGATCTATTTTTATTTTTCTACAGATTGACATCCAGTTTTGCCAGCACAATTTGTTGAAGATGCTCTCTTTTTTCCATTGTATACTTTTAGCTCCTTTATCAAAAATCAGGTGTTCACATGTTTGTGGGTTGAAGTCAGGGTCTTCTATTCGATTCCATTGGTCGACTTCTCTGTTTTTATGCCAATACCAAGCTGTTTTCAATATTGTAGCTCTGTAATAGAGCTTGAAGTCAGGGATGGTAATGCCTCCAGACAATCCTTTATTGTATAAGATTGTTTTGGCTATCCTGGGTTTTTGTTTTTCCATATAAAGTTGATTATTGTCTTCTCCAGATCTGTGAAGAATTTTGATGGGATTTTGATGGGGATTGCATTGAATCTATA